GGCTGTTTATCAGTGGCTGCCGGTCATGTTGACTGCTGCCCTGCCAGGCTGTGGCTGGCTGCTGCTTCACCGTGCACAAAAGCTACCCATTGGAACTGTGGCCGGTACCGTAGATCAGCTCTATAGAAAAACACCGGAAGATATACGACACATACTGTCTATTACTCCCCAGACAGGAAGCTAGCAGTTTTGTCCAATTTTGCCAGCAGTCTGCAATACATCCTGAAATGTTCCAGCTGTTAAGGTGGCTGGTGGAGCAGACAAACACAGCAGACAGCCAGGGCTGAGCAGGATTTGGCTGACTGGGTATAAATTGTTTGATTATTCCACTGGCTCAGGCCTGTCTAGTTTGTGTTTTACAGCAGGTAGTTTCAGTCGGGCAGCTAAACTAGTCAGAAACACTTAATAAGCATGCTGGTGCTTCCCATGAATCATGTCTCAGTGTGTTAGAAAGGAAAGAAACTGATGCAATGCTGCTGAACGACCACAAAACATGTCGTGATTTCACTTCCAGTGTTGCGACGGCATCTTTTTCCATAATTTTCAAAACTCAAAACTTGTGATGCACATTTGTAATCGTTCTCTTAATTGCTACCAGGCAGCATTACCAATCAATAACATTTTATTCATTAATGTGAACATATTGATATTTCTTCCACATACTGGTCAAGGTGTCCTTAGTACAGGATTTTCCACCCATTAGCATCAGGAACATTGTCCTAATAAAGTACAGCTTGTGTTGAAAAGGTGATTCCTGCCCTCAAGCCATTGACTGCAATCAAAGTCTCTGTCATGGTGCCCCGTTGCTCCACAATGAAACTCCCCCTGGTCCAAGTCACTGCCTCCTCACGTCGCTACATATTAAACACTAACGGAATAGTAAGAGGCTCCACCTGCTGTCTCCACTAGGTACAGCTGATGTACAATACATTTTCTGATACGCATGTCCTTTGTCCTCAGCCTTATCGGTTTATTTTTTAATTGGTTAAATTATTAACAGTGATTAACCAATTAAACACTAATTATTACAGTAATGGACATAGTGGGACAGTGATGGCTGTGGTTCTTTGTGAATGAGATCTGACTTTGCGGGCCAATGCCTCTGCCTGAGTTTGACAGATTCTAAAAGCACTAAGCTTGCTTACAAAGGTAAACCAATTGTGTGCATCTATTTTCTGATGCAGTGTGTGAAGCAGCCAGATGAGAGCCAGTAAACGATCCTGAGACCAGAACTGATTCCACTAAAGGATAGAATTGTGGTAGTAAAACAATCTCAAAAACACTGCTATCGTGTACTCAGGAGCACTCGTATGTAGTAGTTTGGCAAAATGATTACTTTTGAACTTTGAACTATCCGGCTGGTATGTGTTGAAGACTAAAGGAGCGTCTCTGTTCTTTTCAAGGAATGTTCCTTGTCTTTTAAGCTCCAACTTCAGATTACAGCACAGATTGCATTCCATCTGTAGTAATATTAGCATCCACACTGTCCAGGTCAAGAGTTGTCTTTTGAGCCTACAGCCATGTAACTGGGATGGCTCTAATGATGGCTGAGGTGATGAGTCCACCAATCTGCTCCAGATCAGGGTTGAAGGAGGGTGTGGTGGGCGAATATTCAGACATCAAAATTGCTATCCGGATACCACCACAATGGCCGAAATGTTTGAATTGGATTTGTGACAGAATGTTTTTTTATAGTGACAGTAATGTGTCTTGACAGTTTCTGGATGGATAGATGGACACATTTGCGTTTGCCTTTTGATGAAGAGTCATAACTTTAATCCAGTCATCGACCATCAGGTCCAATCTTCAACTTGTACTTTGGTTTATGAATAAATACTTGCAAAACTAACGAAAATCCTGTTGTATGATTTGTAGTCTCTAAGCTGATGAATGTGGTACTAATTAGCAAATGATAGCATGCTGATACGATTAATCAAGTTGGTGAACATGGGGAGCACGGTGGTGTAGCGCCTCTCTCAAACTCATGCCTCCAAACATTTTGCACATCGTCCATCAGGTTTAAACATATATTCTATTCTGCCATTGAAGAATGTGCCTTTTTGCATATTATTGGCTGAGTGTTATAGCCCCAAGACAACCAGCAAATGGGAGCAAACACATTTCAGAGGCTGCAGCAGAATGTCGAGCACTGGAAAGACATATCAGTCAAACAGACGACCACTCCAAGATCGTATACAGGCTTTTTCCTAGAGTGTGTCTCGCAGTCTTTTATTGATATGCCTGCACAACTTCAAACTAAAACTCAAAGAGCACACATGCCTGGCCTGTCATTATGAAACAACCTTAATACTTGTTCTTGGCTGTGATAATGGGCACCTGTCCAAACTGTAATTACAGTAAATATTGCGCTCAGGGTTTGGTATGAACAGACATTTCTGAGAGGCGGATTCCACTGAGGCGGTGATGTGCAGAAGGTCAAGTTGTCCATTCCACTGTCACAACCTAATGGGTTCCACATGGACATCTGGCAGTGTTTCATCAGCAGAGCTGTCCGGTACATGAGTAATCCCTAAAATCTGTGTGTATGTGTTGCAGGTGTCTGGTATCGTGGGCAGAGCTGATGTCTTGGCCTGTCTGCTGTTCTTGCTGACATTCCTCTCCTATATTAGGTAAGACGACTCTGTACCACCCCCACGTCTTCTGCACTTACACACACACACACACACACAAACATATGTAAAACACATCAGCCTGAGGGACTGATGAAGATGAGCTTGCTGTGCAGACATAAACTCTTCAAGAACAGGACTTTAACTGCTCCAGAAGACGCTCATATGAGGTCGTGTGCTAGGCAGCAACGTTTATGAACCTCCGGCCGACTGGATGCCGTTTGTCAAATTCAGCTATATTTAGGTCACGTCGTTCAACATGGTGCAGGTTCTTCCCTCATAAAAGCCCCCTTTGCTCAGACAAGTGACCAGCGTGCACTCAGTGGCTTAACACCATGCTTTTATCATTTTAATCTGATAGAGTGCTCTGCCTGCACCGCATTAACCCTCTGAACCCCTAAAGCGGTCACCGGGTTAAAAAGGCATGTTTTCTATAGAAACTCAACAAAGGGACACCGTTAGTCATCGAATGCAACTGAAACAAATGGACAGAAACATCAGATTTTTTAACTTTCAAAAGTCCTTGAGCTGCTCCTGTGTGGTGTCCAGTCTCACTGGGAAAATAACCAAATCTTTGCCTCAACTGTGACCAACAGTTACATGATAAAAATTCAGGGGCTGTTCTGCTTGAACTGCAGGATGTGTTTACACAGAGCCCAGAGGAAACCAATTCAAAGTGTAAATAGTTAAATATCGACAGTATGTAGAGGCACCACTGTTGTAGCTGTTTTATCGTGTTTGTGTTTGGGCTCTTGTTTATTTGTCTGATTGTGTTTTTATTATTTGTTCAATTTGACTTCTGGTTTATTGGGAATAATTTTGTCTCTTTGTTTTCAAAAGGTGCTATGCAAATAAGTTGGTATTAATAGTATTTTTGTCCTAGTTTTGGTAACATCTGTGGATACTTAGAAAGATGTTCATTTCCAAAAAAGGAAGTTGATTTTTGGTATCATAACTGTGCCGTAGCATACAGAGGAGTTTTTGAGTTTTTGAGTTCTCTGCCATGGTTTTGCTGTTTTCATCCTGCAGGACTTTATATTGCAGTGAAAAATAACCTGACAGTGAGCAAAAAACACCCACAGACTGCTTGGCACTGAGAGGATTAAATAACTCATTACAACTTTGGTTCTGTAGTCATAGTTTTGAAAGGAAAACTATGAATTCATAGCCACACTGTCCATAAGCATCCAGCTGCACAGATTGTAAAATACTGTAAGTACTCTGTTAACACTGAGGGCCAGAATCCCACCGGGGCTGATACAGTTCATTGATAGTTAAAACAATAAGCTTCAGCCCTGAGCGTGTGGCTTTGAAATCTCTCATATCAAAGAGCTGTCAGACCTATTTAATTAATGACAAGCACTGCTAATTGGCAGCTTTGTAGGAGTGCTTTAGCTGTCAGTGGGTTACTTACAACCATCACAACACTCTGACCTCTCACAGGTGACGTGAATCACATGCAGTGTCTTGTCAAGGTGTGTGATAGATGAGACAGTAAACGACTGGTCGGTTCTTGTGGCCATCGTGTTGGACGCAGGAGATTTGGGCAGAACCTGACCAGGCCAAATGGTTACGACCTGATGACTGTGTCAGACAGTAGCCCAAGGAGGTGTTGGGTAACTTCCAGGACTTAAAGGTCCTGCTGCTCATGTCTTGGTTCCAGATGTTACAGGACAGCTTCAGAGGTCTGTGGAGTCCATGTCCTTGCAGCTCTGTCTGGTCCATGATTATGAACATCTGATCTGTCCTATTTGAAATCAAAAATGATCTCAGTTTACCGAGTGTAGCAAGTCATTTCACTTACTGTAGTAATTCTGCACAGTAACAAAGCTGTCTTTGTTACTTTGCAGAATTATTATTATTATTATTATTATTATTATTGTTGTTGTTGTTGTTGTTATTATTATGACTAAAGTGTCTTGTGTCATGGCTGAGCTGGAGACTTTGCTAAAGCCGACCTGTAACCTCACATTTTGAAACCTCTTGGTTCTCTCCCCTGTCAGGAGTGTGGGTGAGTGCCACTCTGAGGACTCTCTGCCCTCCACTGTGTCCACGTGGTCTCTGCTCATCAGTTTGCTGCTGGGCACTTGCGCCATGCTGGTCAAGGAGACGGGCATCACCGTGTTCGGAGTGTGCTTGCTCTACGACGCCCTGGTGCTCTGCCGCAAGCCCATCATCTAGTAAGCACACAGAGCTTTTGCTTTATGTTTATTTTTTTCTTATCTTGATTTATGCGGGTGATAGTTTGCTGAGCGTGCGCACAATTTTTCAGCCACGCTTGGCTTTATATTTACACAGCCAAACTCGTTTACATCTGGGAGCTACCCGCTGCAACCACAGACGATTTGTCCAGAAGACACAGTGTCTTTTTATTCTGCTGTGTGCACAAAGAACTGGAGTAAGCAGAACTCTGTCTGTAGGTGTGTTCTTTAAAGAAGACATGAAAGACCAGGCAACATGCTTTTCTTTTGTTCTTCATACTCAGGCATTACAGAAGAGCACAATTATAACAAAACACAGCAATAGAGGACTGAAGTAGTTCCCATTCAAAGGTTTGCTTCCTTTTAGTTCTTCTGACGACTTCCAGACTTGTGTAATAGTTGTGGATGAGGCCTTTATTTTATGTATTATTATCTCATTGGGAGAAAGCCTCCTGTTTGCCTGGATTCATAGATCATCTTGCATGAACTGCACTCTTGAGATCTCAGCAAAGTTGCTTGTTGCCGCTCTAGAACCTTCACCTTTTCCTGCTGTGGCCACTCAAGGGTCAGCTGGGCCTTGTGCTTTGGATCACTCGTCCAAGTGTCCCGTGTGCAGCCTCTGAGCTGAATGTAAACAGATTTTCAGTATTCTCTGATAACATGAGTTCTTAGTAAATTCCTCGTGCTGCTGTAGCTCTAACCCCTCAAACATCAGAGAGCCACCCTCACACTCCACAGCTGTGATTTTCTATCATCAGCATCATTCGGTCTGTTAATTCCTCACCACACATCGTGAGCGTGGTTGCCACCATAAAGTTCAATTTGGGTTTAGTCTCTCTGAATGACTTCGTTCCAGAAGCTCTGAGGCATGTCTAGGTGCTGCTTGGCATTTTGTAAACAGGCTGGTTTGTGGCGTACTGACAGCTTTTTTTTTTTTTTTTTACAGTTTGACCAAACAGCCGCTCCTTGTTGTGCATCATAAAACAGCCACACCACTTGTATGTAGGGATGAAGCCTGTATTCCAGCTACATTTGTTTGTGGGTTTTTCTTTGCATTCTGACCAACTTTCTTGGCAGTTGGTCTCCCTGACTCTGCTTTGGTATAAACAGAACTTCTAATTAGCATCTCTTAATCAGTTTGAACACTGCTGATTAGCATTTTTAACTCGTTTTCTATCTTCTTCCTAATTCAAAAAGTTCAGCTGCCTTTACTCACTGTCTTCTGGCTGTTGTTTTGCTTTCACTGTGGCTCGATATCCAGCAGATTCAGTGCAGCCCCTGGATGAAATGCACAAGGCTGTTTCAAAAGCTAAAAAAAAAAGACCCTCTAATATACAGCGACCATATACAATAGTAAGTTAGTATTTAAACTTTGAACTTAAGAAAGGACACACACAACTATATAAATAACACCATCTAACCACCACCTCTAAGTTAAACAGTTTTTCTCTATGATCAGTTTTATTTTCCCCAGAACGGCCAATATTTCTCCAAGACTATGTAAACTGTAGCACTGTACTGTACTCTGTGTATGTGTGTGTGTGTGTGTGTGTGTTTATGTCTTTCAAGTGTAAACTAGTTTCAAACCTTTGATATTAAAACATTGATGCCAGACATTGTAGTTTTCAATCAGTTTTAGGAGCGACGTGCAGACTACATGTGGAGTTTTGTTCAAACACAAGACTTCATTCAGCTACAGTGAAACATCTGGACGATCTCAAACCGGCATACCTGGTTTTATAGTTGGTGACGTACCATTCTGCTTTTTTCTTCTACTTTTATCTAAAAGATGTGAAGTTTGCTGAGAAAGTTTTGACTTTAACTGGACTTGCTTTGACAAGTCTTGACAGGAAACCTGCCTCCAAAGGCTTAAAAAAAAGCAAAAGGAAATGCTCAGGCAGTCTAAAGCATGAGCAGTCCACCGAGTTATAGACCATCCCATATGTGCTTTGATATAACAGGAGAACCTGGAGGGCAGAAACATTCACTTGGACTCAAGGATGATCCAGTTAGAAATTAGTGGTCAGACGTGACTGTGAGCTCAGAATTAGTCGAGAACAGTTTCCCTTGTGGATCATTAAAGTTTATCTGAGACTAAGTATAACTCAAGAATTCACACATTTACTATGACACAATTTCACATAGATTTCTTCAACGATAAAATAAATGACTGATATACATATGTATATATATATATATATATATATATGTTAGATTACAGTGTTCTACATAAACTCCTTCCTGATCAGTATTCAACACCATAACTGAGGAACAGCAGGCGAGATGTGACCATAGATCACGTGTGGTCAGATGCTGAACTGGAGACTCTAATCTTGGGTCTCCACCTTGAAGCTGCTGTGATTGTATAGAACACGGATCTCCAACTCTGGTCCTCGTGAGCTACCGTCCTGCAACACACCTGACTCACATTAATGGATCATTAACAGACTTGTGTAGAACTTGACAATGTTAGAGATCCATTAATGTGAGTCAGGTGTGTTGCAGGACGGAAACGTCTAAAACCTGCAGGACGGTAGCTCACGAGGACCGGAGTTGGAGATCCCTGGTGTAGATAATGCCAGCTGGTTTGTTTAAGATGAGTATGAAGTATCCATGTTTAAGACCTCTTTGCAGCAACATCCATGTTTAAACCGTTGTCTGCTGCCATGTTTACAGATTTGCATTCTATCAGAATTAACTTTGGGTCAGACTGGATTATAGCCAACTTTGCTGCACAAAGACATTCAGTTCAGCATCTAACCAGAAGTGCAAACGGAGCAGTAAGAGAACAGGATGCAGAACAGAATGAACTGAGCATATAAACAGACTCAGCTGCAGATGACAGTTTAAAGGTGGGTGATTGTAGATGTTAAGGTGGGGACACGTGGTGGTATGAACAGCATGAGATGTGTGCAGCATGTATGGACAGTATTAATGATGTAGACAGCACATTTTAAATGTGAACACAGGAATTAGTTTTTCTGTTTCTGTCAATGATCGTACGTTCTTCAGTCTTCATTGCATGCATCATACGAGTGTGGCCAGACACTTATTTACATTTCTAGTCTCCAGCGTGTTGTTGTGTTTCTGTTTATTTCTCCTGCTTGCTTTCCACTGAGGTTATTAATGTTATCTTTGTTTTGACTTGTCCTATAGTGTAGATAAGGTAAAGTGATGATAACGTATTGTGATGGGGCAGGCTGAGGGACGGCTGACAGCTCTTCTTCTGGAACATGCTGAACACCACAGATTGCAGAGATGTAACGACGTCCCCGTGTCAGAGGGGGATGTTTCCTTCGCTGGTAGACTGTGAACGCAGCCAACTGACTGTTCTTTCTCTGTGTGCGTCGGTATGGTTTTACACTGATACCATTATCCATGTCACACTTTTTTATTGGTACGCTTTGCTGCGGTGTGTCTCCATCCCTTACTCTGTCCTTTTAAAAAAGCCTACAGTGATAATGGAGGACAGATGCCTGGCGAGCAGGGAGCCTCAGATAAAGCACTGCATTTAGGCAGAGGCCCACTCTTTCCTGTCTCCTCGTCGTTCCCAGTGCGCCTCTTCTTCTTCTTTAATGTGCCATACCGGTGTTTTGTATGTTTTAGCCCATTAACTATAACTCACATATACTTTACTTTACAGATGGCCATTTTCCAAAGTACACATCAGTTTGTCGATGGATTCTTGTACCTTCCAGGCAGCTTTTGATTTCATTTCATTTCAGAATGCAGTGAAAATCAACCTGCAGAGATCTGAGACTGGCTGCAGATAAATAATCCATCACAGACAACATGTGAAGTGAGTTTTTGTGCTTTTTGGCAATATCTTACACGAGTACATAGCAGTACATTACAGAACACGCTAGGATTCCCACATTTTGTCTAGTTACATACGAGCAGACTTTCGGCAGGCATATAAAGCAAACAGAGTGAAAGAACCCTCAGGTACACTGTAATTTTTCATGTGCAAAACAGTGTTGTATGCTTGACAGACATCCTTAACCCCTTAAGCCCTGGGCTACTTTCAGCCTGAAAAACCACTCCATGTTCAGCCAGTAACTGCTCAACTGCTGTAGCTTCAAATTATCCATCTATCCATTATCTATACACCACTTAATCCTCACTAGGTTCATGGGGGGCTGGAGTCTATCCCAGCTGACTCAGGGTGAAGGCAGGTTCACCTGGACAGGTAACCAGTCTATCACAGGGCTACACTTAGAGACAGACAACCAAGCACACTCACATTCACACCTACGGACAATTTACAATCACCAATTAACCTCAGCATGTTTCTGGACTGTGGGAGGAAGCCGGAGAACCCGGAGAGAACCCACGCTGCACGGGGAGAACATGGAGACTCCACGCAGAAAGATCCCGGTGCCCCCACTGGGATGTGAACTGGCGACCTTCTAGCTGCGAGGCTACGGTGCTACCCACTGGTCCACCTTGTAGCCCAATGTTACAAAGTGCTTTTCAATAAAAATAAATTAAAAATGAAAATACAATGAGCACACAGAACAACTGATGAAAGTGGAAAGCACACAAATAAAGCTATAAAACATAAAACTTAAATAAAATCAGGGAAAGCTCTCCGATATAAATGTGTTTAAAGAAATGGCTTAAGAGAGAGCACAGACTTAGCCGACCTGATGTCCTCGGGCAGGTCGTTCCAGAGCCTCGCCGCCTGGACTGAAAATGTTCTGTCCCCCTTTGTTTTCAGCCGGACCTCTGGGACAGTTAACAGACCTTTGGCCGAGGATCTTAAAGAGCGTGATGGAGAATATGGAGTTAAAAGGTCGTCAATGTAAGACCGCTGAGTGCTTTAAAAGTGCTTAATAAAATCTTAAAATCAATCCTAAAACATACTGACAGCCCATGTAGAAGAGCTAAAACAGGCGTGATGTGCTCACGTTTCCTCTTCCTGGTTAAAAGTCTGACAGCAGAGCTCTGCACTGTCTGTAGTCTGTCCATGGATTTGT